AGCATTTCATAATCTTAATTTTCGATTAAAAAAAATTAAATATTTGTCCTTGATGACGTTACATTTACGATGAAATGATAGGCTGATTATGCCAACGACAGTGCAGCTGTTGTGTGTGCACGAKTACACGACAAATGATTAGAGTTTATAATTCGTATAAAATAAACACATAATAATAATCAAAAATATACTCGACATAATTATACCATATTATATAATCGTATAATACAAACTTAAAATATTCACATTTCATACTATAGCTGTCGCCTCGATTAACTTAACCTCATTAATATGGTTTTAGCCAAGGCAATATAGTTTTCCAAAGCTTTTAAAATATTTGGTTTTTTTTTCGAGGGTCCATTGAAAAAATAATAAATAATAATATCGCCGCAGCTGTACTCGTCCGCAGACGCAGTTGTTGCCGTCGGTCGTTTGCGCTCGTTAAGCAAAAACAAAAAAACAACTATCTAAGCACGTACAAGTTTGGTTTTTTTACGTATTCTGTGACGGGGTATACCCTCATGTTGTCATATTATAAAAGATGAGAAGAGTGGTGTATATTTAAGATGAGTATAGTGTATAACGGTTGAAGTGCGTGGAAAACGGCTGTSGCGGTGGCGGTGGCGGCGGCGGTAAAAATAATAATCATAATAAATGCGCCTAAAACAACATGTTAATGARCATAAGGGGACTTGATTGTTATTCCGGTTCGAAATTAATACAACCACCGTAGTTGTTAAACCTAAAGAAAGGAAACCGCCGCACGACGATGACGACAACGACTGCAAAGTGTGGCCGCCGCTGTCTTATATATATATATGTATATATGTATTATGTATATGCCATATTACTATTATGTGTATTGTGTATATTATTTTGTACATACGTGTTTTATTTTACTCATATCGCGAGCGAMCGGAAAACGGCCGGCAAAACAAGTTCATTGACTATATAATGTACACACGGCCAAGTTCATGTGCAGTCGTCGTCGACGACATATCTGTCATCGCGCTCGCGGTTCGCCCGTTAATAAAAAAGACGGAAATCTTTGACTGCAGCGCAGTAGTACGAGATCGTGTGTGGCTGTATGTAGCTGATAATGTATTATGTATTATAATCATATGGTTATAAATTATTATAATGCACTCAACTCTATAACTATATGCAAYCATTGATGATGACAAACAGCAATATATTAGTATATTACAACAAAATATATATAGCAACTGGTTAGGTGAAATACGTTCTCGAGAGTTTTCAACCAAGTGGGAGAAAAAAATGTTTTTTTTTTGTTTTTAAAAAATGCAGTTGGTATTTATCTAGGTAAAATTGTTATCTTCATGACTATATGTATATTTAATTTAGGAACATAAAATTAAAAGCCGGTGTCGGAGTAGAAAAAATAATAATAAATAATATTGATTTTACATTCATTATTTTTTAATGGGGCTTTATCGTATACGAGTGTATAATATATAAACCATTTTAAACCTATCCATCCGATAACCCGTTAAAAGATACGATCGAATTTGGTGTTTTCRTATAATATATTATATTATATTTTTCCATTGTTTTATCTATATGAACAAAATACAATATTAATTGACTTTCAACCCTGCCCTTAAGATAATATTCTGTAGATTCCAAGACAAAACTGCTTTACGACTGCAGGCTTTCGATTAGAAAAGCAATAGTTTTGAAAAGACAACCAGCCAGAGTTCTGCGT